AAATGAAGAGCCTTCTGTATCAGTAAATTAATTTTGCAACAGACCCTTGAATAATCAACAGCTATTCTTTAGCATGTGTATCACATAGTCAAGGCTAGTAATACTATTATTAAAACCACCCTCTCAATACAAGTATCTCATAAGAGGGCAGCTTTCAAAATCATGAGCTTATTTTGTCAGATGTTTACCCCAAGCAGTGATTCCTAGCCTAAATTTTAGAAAGGTAGGCAAATGACTCAAGTGAAGTGATTACAGAGGAAAATGTTATGGAAACTGCTTTTACAGAGAATAAGGTATAATATGGATATACTAAATTCAGCTGAGTTGACTATTACTGGCCTATAAACTACTTTAAGGAGGGATTAAATCGAATTGAGCCTGTCATCACCCACGGCTTTCTGTGTAATGCCAGACACATACAAGAGGCAGTTTTGAAATGACAGACCTGGTTCTAAGCTGAGCACTCAAGAGACAGCTAGGAGAGCTGGGATCAGAGAGTACAGATTTATAACAAAACCCAAGAGCATGAGAAGGGAGGAATATAGTCAGGTCAGAGACTGAAACCTTGGAGTTCCAAATTACTAACATGGTTCAACATGCCCTGGAATTTTGTTTTACAGTGGCAGTGAGTTTATGGAGGAAAGACAGTAATCACAAGTAACTGCTAAGAGGGAGTCTCAAAGAAGTCAACAGCAAAGACCTTGAGGTTGCTAACAGCAAGAGAAACAAACTATAGAGGGCAAAGAGAGAAGTATGCTTGAAGGCCCAAAGGGAGAATGGTCTGTAGAGAGAATGCTGGAGATGAATAAGGCAGCCAGGACAGAACTAAGGATAGTGACAGTGACAGAACAGTAGTTTGGAAATCATACTTCTATATCTCCCTTCCCAGTGAATCAGGAGAAGTGTCCTCTTAAAGAAGTTTGCCCTTACCATGTGGGTCTAGAAAAAAGGTAGTTTCATTAAAGACAAAAAGGAGAGACGAGACACATGAAAGAGCTGGGCATCCAAAAATTGTGATCATTGTACAAGCGCTGTGAAAAGGCTAGAAGTAGGGCAGTGTGGGGTGCTCGGACAGGGTAGAATGTATGAACAGAAAACAGAGTTGAGAGAATGAGAAATAAACTGAAAGCCTCTCAGTGACTAAAGAAGAGGGATCCTTTACAGGTAGTCCCATTACTAAGCATTACAGAGCTTCGCAATTTTTAGTGTGGGGAATGGCGAAATGTAGGAATGACTAAGAATCTGAAACTATTGTTTCCCTTAAATATTTTGAAATTCTTACAATCAACATTGACAACTTATGCATCAACAAGGAAGGTTAAATAGAATTCATTTTCAGGATAAAATTAAAATCTAACTTCTAAAAAACCTTTTGAGGGAAGTACTAATAAATGCATCTAAACTGTTAAGTTCAGTTTTTATGTCCTCTATTTAGCCTGGTGAAAATGCTAAAAACAAAGGCCTTACTGATTTGGGAAACAGTTAAAATATAGGAACCACTCACAAAATGAGAGGTCTAAGAGTCCACAAACCAGCATTCTCTAAACAAGTGTGTATATTTGGACTTAGGTGTGAAGATTTTCACTTTGGGGTATGTAGCAAAAATAACTTCATACAGCTTTTTAGCTAAGAAAATAATCATTCAAGAGCATAACAAAGGCTGACTACAGTCCAGAACACCAGAATATGACACCCCTGCACAAGTTACTAACCCGGCTGCTCTGATTGCCTGTGCTATATGTGGTTTGGAGCTGTCTGCTCCATGCCCTGGGGAAGCAGCGCGGGTTGGTGTGACAGGCTATGACATTAGCATCATGCTGCCAAACCCCCAGAGAGCATCCGGTTGAGCAGCATGGATCTCATGCACTGCCTGTTCAGAATTTCTACCCTCCCTGTTTGGTTACTCATGTTTTCACTTTCTCTAAAGATACTGGTATTATGAAAAATAAGCACAAGCTCATAGAAGAGATTTCCATGGAACACTTCTTTCATTACACCTGTACAATTTAACTATACCAAATACTACAGAGCTCACTTCCAATTTGCAAGAGAAAGGAATGAAGCAGCACCTATGTCCAGAATATCTGGTGAGTTTTCAGAGGATAAGGAGTACTTGTCTCTCAAGGGCAGGCACACCTGGGCTCAGAGGACCTGAGGTTGTGTAAGTTCTCTCCTCCCCAACCTCCCTCCCCTCAGCACCCCTGTCCCCCACTTCTTCTCTCCACATGTGTATGTGTGTATTAACTCTCCTAGTGCTCTTTTTCTCTTCCTTTTCCTCCTTTCATGCCGAGAAGTCTGTCACAGGCCCTACTTAGCCCACTGCCTATGATATGAAAAAAGAAAGATAGGAACTTTCTCTAAAGCCACTGTCCCCCTTTACTCTCCCAGATCTTTTCAAAGGCTGTACGATTTGAACTTGAAAGTAACTCAGTAGACTTTCAGGACACACAGAGTCCTTGAATTATAAAAAGAAAGGAGGGAGAGACTAAAAAACAATTATTTGTTTACAGCAGAAGAGAACTATAGATATCTTCCTACAATGGACTCCTTATGTCCCATCCTCTATTTATTTAAGATATAAACAATAATCACATATTTTTACTATGAAAAATGACTGCTTTTTAGTATTTATACTGGAGTATTTATTTTAGAAAGTTTTTACAACTAGTCATCAATACACCAGTTATGGAAATAGCTTCAGTATAGGAAGGTGGTCACTGCAATTGTATTATTTTTTAATTATAAGAATGAAAGATATGGATGAAACAATGTTATGGAATTGCTTCAAAATAATACAAGATGATGCAAAAATTCATCAAACTGTAGGCTTGGTTTATGTACTTTTCTATATGCACACGAGGCTTTATTAGAAAGTTTACATATAGAAAAAACAACAGAGCAGGGGGAAGTAAAGAGGGGTACATTTGAAAAAAGATAATCCATGAGTTGACAACTCTTAAAGTTGGATGATGAATACTATTCTACTTTTGTATGTATTGCAATTTTTTATAATACAAGGTGTTGAAAACGGTTACTTATAAACTTAGGCAACTTGAGCAAAAAGATTCAGAAGCAAGGTATAAAAGTAGTACATCCTTTAAAATCAGACTTTGATTTAAGATATAGTGCATTAAAAATAACCAATTTTTCTTTATAATTTTGCTGAAAGTGACAATTTTTCTAAGAAAAATTCTTGGCATAATTATGAAGAAGAACTCTACAAACTAAGATACAGAGGTATTCTAATTCTGGTGGAAAATTGTTCATATTTTGTTGTATACTACAATAAACTTAAGACTTTAAATAAGAGAAAGAAAGAATAAAATCTATCTCCTAAAAACAAAGCGAATGAGTTGGTTCTGATATGAGTAAAACTAAAGAGTTTTCATCATGTCAGCTATGTGCGGACGTCTTTTGCATTAACCCTGCTGCACTCATTCTCCCCCCCAGCCCCTCTCCCTTTCTCTCAGGTGTCAGTAATGTTTATCAAGTTCTAGGAGACAACTAGGAGCCCAAGAAAGGATATGTTAAATAGTGATTGCTGCATGCAGAAAACTACCGAAAAATAGACACGCCTCCTTGGTTTTCATAATATAAATCACTTAGAACAGGCGCATTATATCTAGCAGTTAGAAGATCTTATGAATTTAAAAGCAGTATTTTCTATTTAGCTGAAGAATAGAATTGGCTGCACTGGAACACATCAATGAATTCAAATTTGTCTTTGATTTTTCTTAAAATGCCTCATCCCACTCAAAAGGATTATATGAACATCATTACAATTACAGGTATTCCCCAACTTACAGAAGGGTTGTGTTCTAAAAGTTTACCTGTAGTAAGTTTTCTGGAACTCAAATCACATTTTCTCACTGAAACAACTTTATAAAAGGTAGATAGGCCAATCAGACCAACCCACCTACTTCTATAAGCTCAAATTTATTGGACCTACTATGTTTTACTGCAGTACTGTGGGGTTTTCTCCAATTACCACCTTGCACCATTTCTTTGATAGATGCAATAGGGACTCAGGTAATACCACTCCTCTCTAATGTCTGTGCACATGTGTGCATGCACACCCCTTATCCAGGTCTGTCAGCCAAAATTCCTTTACTCACCAGTGTAAGCATACTGGAGCAGTGTGAGGTGAGGGGCTCTGCATTTGTAGGCTGGAGTAAGTCGGGGTTGCAGAGCTTATTAAGGGCAGTGGGTCATGGAAGGTCTGTAGTTAAGTGTTCCCATGGGGCATCACAGAATCAGGGTAGAAACAGTAGATTCTAACTCCCACCAGGTTTACCTTAACAGAAAGATGGCTAAAAAGTATTAGAAACTTCCTAATAATCTATTTTAATACATACTTTTTATAAACTCAGAGCAAACTATAGGTTACTTTGTATACTTTAGCTATATCCAAAGCTGTAACAAGGGTCTCTCTTCCCCAACTGGAGAGATGGAGGAGGGTCCTACACAGCAACCAAACTGATGGCCTCCTTGACTATAGCAACACACCGTCCCCAGGCCATAGGAGAAGGTAATAGCAAGAGGTCCTAGAAACCAGTGTCTAAGGAGAGAGCTGCCTGTATCTGGGATCTGCTTTCTACTCTACCTAAAGGCAACTGAATTTCATTGCTTAAAGATTCTTAAGCCACAAGACTGTTTTCATGGCTACAAGAAAAGGGTATGATAAGCCACAGAGATAAAATGATTTAATTTCAAATGCAAATTCTTTCTAATATGCCTATTAATTTGACTATTGAAAGAAAAATACATACAGATTCAGTACTTGCACAAAACTAGGTATTATATTATTTAGGCCTAGTACCAATTTGCATATATTCTTTAAGTTCAGGACTTTATGAACACCATTCAATTACACAGTGCTACCATAAGATTTTAACTGTATTTTTAGAAAGTCCAGATCCAACTTTCCAGAAATCACTATACAATCACATCAGAGTTCCAGATCCCCCATCTCAAACTCAGCTGAGGTCTACTCCACCTGCCTGCATAGGTGTTGGCCTTGTTCACGAGATCGGTGCACGCATGCATGTCAGCAAAGGCCCGGATTCCTAAGCAGTTGACAGGGTGAAGCTGAGACTCCAAAAATTCACAACAAGTCTTCTTCACATCCTGTAACTGTAACAGACCAGCTGCTGGGAGGAGCACCTGCAACACAAAGGCAAGCACAGTCAGGCAGCTGGCAGGGAAGGACTCACTGTCACCACTGCCACCTGGGCACAGGGGACCTGGCATCCAGAGCAAGTATTTCACAGAAAAGTAACATGACAATTATTTGCAAAAAGAGGGTGATGCCTCTCACTCTCCATAATTTCTAAGAAATCTTTCAAAAGTCTCTTCTTGGTCACAAGAATATGAGAGACATCATATGATATTAGATTAATGGTTCTTTTTATAAGCATTAACAAAACATTCCTTTGAATTTTAAAAACATAAATTATTAGGATGCTAGGGGGTGCTATGGTTCAGTGAAAATGGTTTTGTTCCTTTAGTCATTCATGAGCTCCAAGTATTATAACAACCACAGTCTCATTTTGTTCTTCCACTATCTGAATGACAACAAACTGTTTTCCTTGAGGGGTAGAACAATTTAAGTCAACCGTCTGGATCTATAAGATAGTTTCTCTAAAATGTAATATATGTGCTAAAGAGGAAAACATAAAAGGTAATTGCCTAATAACTTTTCAATTCGTATTTTTATTTGAGTAACTCCAAGAGATTTTTGTATTTTAATTATGGGTGATTCTTTGGGATTAATCAGGATCTTCACTATATATACTACATGCAGCACTACAACTGCTTTTCAAATAGGTTAATAATGGAAAGATGTTTCTTTATAAGTAAATTAGTACGATGCTATGTTAAGGACCACATTTGAAAGTCAAATTAAGGGGGAAATTTCATTAAAAAGTTCTCAAACATTTGTTCTTTTTTAAGAGCCAATAGAAAAAAACCTCAATTATCAGAACAATGGTCAATTTTTAAAAAGATCACATTAGCATTAAAAAAAAAAAAACACCAAGTTACCGCAGGAACTGACTTTCATTTATGCCAGGCTGCACCAGAGAGAAAGAGAGAAAAGACGTAGTTTTGAATATTTTTTGCAATTTCCTAAATCTGTAATAAATTCTAAATGTGGAAGAGAATAAGTATGTTTGTATCCTTTTGTAACACAAACTACTCTATTTTCTTAAAGGAACCATAGATCTAAAAGCTGCAAGTGTGTGTGCCCACATGTAAGCAATGAAGTGGTCATGAATTAAAGACTAAGAGGATAACTTTTTGTGTTTTAGTCCAACTCCACCAAATAATATTAGTTTTCTCTGAAAACATGGCAACAGTGACTAGTAATAATGCCTTTCCTTCTGAATTTAAGAAAAATAAGTGCAAATAATGCTGTTTATAGTCAAACCTTTTTTATAATGTGCACAGTGTGTTTCATAATGTTATGAGAATGAATCTCCACGGAAGGCTTTAATTGTTGATAATTTGCAAATTGGGGGTTTTTCTACACTGGTATAATTGTACTCTGAAGCAACATACAGTATATTCCAAGATGCCTAATACTGTAGCCATTTAATTCAGCAAATGCATATAATTAGGAAGTGGTCTTCAGCGTAAGATTCAATCTCTGTGAAATTTGCACAAGTCGTAATCATCAGTCATCAAATCAGCATTTTCTCAGAGACAACACAGTGTTGTATACAGGAGTATTCAAATTGCTTGGTAACACAGAAAGACAGGGATCCTTGGGAGGAAATATAGCTGAGCAGAAGCAGATGTTCCCTCCTGCATTGCTGGTAGGAGTATACTGTAATGGTTCAATGTTCATGAAGAAAAATTTGTCTATTTCAAAGTACAAATGCAAATATCCTCTGGCCCAGCAATTTAACCTATAGATACACCGACATATGCACAAAACCTCACATGTCAAGACACTCATTACAGTATTATTACGAGTAAAAGAAAAAAGCCTGACTGTCCTCCATACTAACCTGGCTCACACTTAACAATGATCCATTCAGTGAACACTGCAGTCACTCAAAAGAATGAGCAAACAATAGGAATGGCACAATTTCTCAGATACATTCTTGAAGTAAAAATCAGTGATTGGTTCATAGTATGTCAACATGCATATACACATGCACACTTATATTATACACACATCCATCTAAAAAAGCAGCTATTAGTAGGCTTTCAAAAATTTTCTTTTCTTGATTTCAACTTCATCACTAACATGTCCAGATCTACCTTTTCAGGAGACTGAAATTATAATAAAATTAGGAGAATCTCAGATCTGGAAAAGATATAACAAGTCATGTAGGTCAGGGATATAAAAGTCATTTCAACTGTAGGTTATGTGGCTAGAAATTCACATACTATTTTTTTTATTGATGGCAATGATGAGCCAAGTAGATCCATGCTTGGAAACATATATTAAATATAACTTAAATGTCAGTCAAATGTATAAAACAAGTTTATTCTTATTTTCCTTTGTCAGCAAATCCTTCAAGAATGCATCATTTTTATGATGTAATTTTACTAGGATAAAACTTCAACAGGTCTTGATTATTTAATTAGTAACATTCAGCTTCAAAAACAGTAATCGGCCCAGCTACTAACATGACTCCTGATAACCTCAGTTACTCATGATAAAAACAAGAGAGTAGCTGGGGCCACATCAACGTTCTAGATTAGTTTATTGTATTATACAGCCAGCTGAAATAAAAATGCTCTAAATTTCAGATGAACCTTATCCCACAATCAAAACCACATAATATGCTGGCAGCCCATGAGCTGGTCAAATCAAATCAAATCTCCTAAATTGTCTGATGAAGAAACCAAATCGAAAGGACTTGACCAAGTTGTAGAGCTGGTCAGCAGAAAGCTTTGTATATAATCCAACTGGCCAATTCTTTGGTCTATTGTCCCTTTCACTACCTTGAGCCCCATCGGTAGGTGTGAAATGGAAGGGCTTGTCTGATTTCTGCTCTTTTTAGCAAAAGTAATAAAGATGAAAGTCAGTCCACTGTCTTGTAGTTGCTTCCATCTACTGAATAATCACTATGTCAGACACTGTACTAAGCAATTGGCAGGCAATACTATCTCATTATCTCCAATATATACAAGTGAGCACAGAGGCTTAAGTAACTTGCCCAAGGTCACATGCCTGGTACTGGGCAGATTGAGTCTGCTACAGAGCAGTTTTAGCCAAAGCAGGTATAATGATTTTAGATGGCACAGATGAACATTCTCATGTTAGTAGCTGGGAACATGTTTTTAAAGTTACCATCTACTTATTTCAATAACATAATTTCCTCTTTAAGTAAATTTATTTGAACAAAATTTGAGTCTAAATATAGAGAAAAACATTAAATATTTAAGTGATAGCAGTACTGACAAAATCCTGAAAGTGGCACACAAATTACTGAACTTTAGAAAATCCTGATTTGGGAGATCAGATTTAATATTTTAATCTTTCAATATCTGATGTCATTCTGATTCTTATAGTTTTTATATATCACTAAGAAGAAAGAATGTGCTTTAATCTGGGGCTCTCGTAATCCCATGGATTATTTTCCACAAAGTAGATAAACTGTATTATACTACTAGCAACAAGTTTGGGAAACACCTGGCAATGTAAAGTGGTTAATTTGCTATTTAGATCACAAAAATATCTTGGACATACAATCATTAGGGGGTTTGAAGAATAAAACAGTAACTTAAAAACAAATTTTTCTGAGCTCTCTATGCTGTGCTTCTTACATGAAGAGGGATTATACTGATACAGCAAACCCCAAGCCACACAGCATTACAATCTAATGGAAAATTTCCATGTTTCATTTCCCATATGCTTCACTAGTATTAACCCTGAAATTGATGAAAATAACCCTAAGGCACTCTAAAATAGTGAAGTTTTCCAAAACATCAAAGAAAAAGCAATTATATTTGCCATATACTCTGAATGTTAATGATGTAATCTAAGAGTCTAGAAGAGATTAATTCACACACAATGCATACACTGAGGGAGGGCCACCTTCCAAAGCTAAGGCATCTCTCCAGGGTATGGTGAGCCCTAAGGAAAAATGTGAAGTAGGCAGCTTGCCTTGGGCCAGATCCTGCCCCTCCTTCCCCCAGCATTCTCCCAAACATGCCACTCCTTTAGTTCTATTCCATCAAGCCTATAGGGCTGCTCTGCTCAGACCCGTGTTCTCACCTTGGTCTTGGCCCCTTCAAGGTCATACTCACAGCACTGCTCCGTTTTGCTGCCTGTGTAACACCTGCCACGATCAGAACAGATCTACGCATGTGCTCATGTTTACTGTCTCTCCCTGCAGAAGAATACAGCTCTATGACAGCAGGGTCACATCTATTTTACCCCCCATTATATCCTCAGGTATTAGAAGAATATCTAGGTGTGTAGTAATGAATCAGCCTGAATGTAAATTAATTTGTTACTCTCGTGGGTATTTGTATTTTAAAAATACAATTATGGATGTGCTTTGACCCAGAAATACGAACTCTTATTTCTAGAATATATCTGTATGGAATACTTATGTCCTACTGCAAATCCTCTCAGCCTCACCTCTTGCTCAAGCCACCACTACAGCAACCAGGTCCACGTGGGCTTGGATCACCTTTGTGAAGATGTAACTTAACAGTTCCTCACCCCAGCCCTACCATGCCTCTCTCCAGCGTCCCACCTGGGGACTCACACCTGAACAATCTGGAAGCCCTGGGGAAAGAATGCTTGGGGTCACCCCTGACCTGACCACAGGGGAAACGTCCAAAGGAAAATGGTGAATACATGCCTCCCCTTTTTATCCCCCAAGCAGAAAGTTCTGAGACACACTTCACAAGGCTCTTCAAAAGGTCCTGTGGAAAATAAACATGTCACACGTAACTGTGGCCAGACACATGCCACATTCTGAACCATCTTCTCCCTTTCCAACTCCAAGCCCATACCCGGTCACTGTGCCCTCTTGGATCACTTTCCAAATAAACTGAATGCACAACAGCTGGACTTTCAGGGGGCCCCAGTTCCTCATGACAGTAATACATGGGATAAACTGTCAGTGTGGATATACTTGGTTGTAAGAGTATTAATGACAGTGCTCTTTACAGTATCAAAAATTGAAAAGAACTTG